TCCCCAGGACAAGGGGGGGTGGGAGGCGAGGGTCTGAAGGAGGGCCGGGCCTACCCCGGGGAAGGACAGCCTTCATGCTGAGACCACCACACGAGCAGAGGTCACGGGGAGAGGGCGCGAGTTGGGGTCCGGCCAGCTGGAAAAACGAGAGCACACAGGGCTTTGAGAAGCCACCAAAAAGGTCACATGAGTGTTTATTACATAGAAAAGGGGGAAAAGAAGAAAAAGTTTCTAAAGCCGTATTTTCAGGATTTAAAAAAACACAAACTTGGAATGCCAAAGAGATGCCATGCTTTGCATATTTATAATCTGAATATATAAATATGTACGTGGAGATATGTACACAGGTTTCGACGGTCATGCGCGCTGTTTGCCATTAGGCGGACGGCAACGGTGCTTGAGCTGGGACTTCCGAAGCTGGCGGGGCGCTGGGGAGGTTGGGACCCTGCCCAGCGCCTCCAGGGGCCCTGGGGACCCCGGCCAGCAGCGGGGGCGGGTGGGCCTGCCAGGGGCTCGGTCCTGAGGGTGCGGGGAAGGCCAAGCCGCAGCCCGGCCTGGGCTCCAGGCAGCAAGTCTAGAAGCTTCCCTAGGTCCGCAGCTGGAGAATTTCTTCCTCTCGTGGAACCAAGGAAGGCTCCAGTCACTGGGATGGGCTGGAGACCCCCTTGGCTGGCTAGGATCACAAGGGAAGTGGCTGGGGGTGGGGGGCAGCCCCCGCAGATCTGGGCAAAGGTAAATTGAGGAAGCCCTGGGAGGTCGGGGAGAGGGTCTCGGCAGAGAACAACAGAAAATGGACAGCGATTCCTTTAAGGGGAGAAAGACCCAAACAAAGTCACTCACGTATCAAAAACTACAAATCACAGCACAACACTCATCCAAATATAAATTCAGCGAATATGCACAGAACCAGTGTTGTTTTTATGTACGTTGTTTTCAAAGATTTGGCACCATTTACAACAGCATATGTCCCCTAGCCTGTGCAAAGGGCCTGCCAAGTGTGTCCAAGGGGCGCCCCGGCCACTTAACGGCCACCACACCAGCTCCCTGGTTGGGACACCCAGCCAGGCATCACCCAGAAACGGGGTGGGCGTGACCTCTGCCCCCTTCTCTCCTCACTGCTTCTCATCCTGGGGCTGGAGGGCGGGGGGGGGGGGGGGGGCGGGGATGACTGTCTGCAGCCTCGGGAGAGCCCAGAAAGGGCTCACGGTCCCCTCCTCTCTGGGAGACCCAGAAGGCCAGCCCTCCCACAGAAGGCCAGCCGGGTCTGGGGGCCGGGGTTGTGGAGCCATGGACCCCGGGAGGAAGTGCTCCTGGCCCAGAGGCCCTTCGGATCAAGGGAACTGTGTGTGTCTGGGCCCTGGGTGGGGTGACAAGGACAAGTGCCACCCACCACGGCCCACGCTGGAGGGACGGCTCCCGGGCAGTGTGAGGGCCTCTCTGCGGATGTTAAGGTCTCAATCCTGAGACCTGCCCTCACCCAGCAGCCGGAGGGGCTGCGAGCATGTTGGGGGGGGGGTGTGCACACGCGTGTGTGAGAGAGCGAGCACGTGTCTGTTCCTCTGCCCGCCTAGGGTGCCGGTGGCCTGGCCTGGGGTGGCTGGCATGGTGGCAAATCCAGGCAGGCAGGGAGAGGGACTGGGGACTAAACCTAAAGAGACAACTTGTACTGGACACTCAGGACACCTACAAGGACGGCCCTGTCATCGGCCTTCCATGTGACTGGATCGGGAGGGGAGAGAGCGCCCGTGTCTGTCACTAGAAAGAGTCCCCGCGTGCCAAGTCCACGAGGCCCGCACAGGAGCGCGGCTGCACGGCCCCGGTCCCGTCCTCCAAGGCCTCTGCTCTGACAGAAATGGGACCGGCATCAGCTTCCCAGCCCCTCCCTGCCCCGCCTACGGATGGTCCAACTGAGGCACGAGACAGGAGTAGAGACAAACAGCACTGAGGCTGGAACTCGCCCCAGTGTTTGCGGCGCGGGTTTCCCCACGCATCACACAGGGATTAGGGCAGATTCGCGAGTCCGGCCTGACTTGCACGCCTCCGTGATCCCGCAGACGTTCTGAAGCTCTCAGAGCCTGACAGGTGAAAAACGCGGACCCCAACCAGTGCCCACCTGCCCGGGAGGCCCCCAGCCCCCCTTCCCGCAGCCTGGCCTTGTGGCCTCCTGGCCACATGCAGCGGCCTCCTCCGCGGGGAGAAGCGCCCCTCCTGCCTCCACTCGCCTTGCTGTTCCACCTGTGCAGACGGGAAGGGCAAGTGCGGCATCGCCACGGCCAGGGCGCTGCTCTCTGGGAGCCCCCCTCGGCTGCATCGGTGCCCGCTGAACGCTGGCTGGATGCACAACTGTGGAACACGGAGCCCCGCTTGGGAGAACTGCCTGATGGCAGCACAGGGGGGCCGCTGAGAAGAAGGCACCCTGGCTCCCTTCAGCCTCGGGCAGGTTTGTGGGGAGCAGCTCAGATGGCTCCCCCACCCCCTGCGAGGTCATGGTCTCCGGGGAGGGTCAGTGCAGCTGGGGGTGCTCTAAGCCTCCAATCCCTCTGTTGAAAGCCCTCCAAACAAACCAGCAAGAGCGGTCAACAAGGGCCTGCAACCACCGACTGGGGACTGACATTTAGATTATATGTCCCCAAGCCATTTCCACAACGCCGAGGTGGTCAGCATCACCCACCGGAGAAAAACATCCAGGGTCATGAATGCCTCCAGGCCCCGGAAGCAGGATGGGGCCCCACACTGGCTCAGGCCCTGGGCCCGGCAGCTGGGGCCAGGCCCACACCCAAGTGACCCTTGCAGACTGCCCCCATCTGCACGGGGATGGGGTTCACCAAAAAAAATTGTAGATTGGGGGGGATTTTAAAGAGCTGGGCTGGCGCAGAAGGACCACCTCAGTGGACCCCTCGCTTCCTCCTCCAGAGTCAAGCCTTAGGAAGGCATTCTCTTGGGCCTGGGGGCTCAGCCCACCTTGCGTGGCCTCGGGGCTCAGTGTTCAGCTTTCCTTTCTTAGGTCTGGGTCCTTGTGGGGAAATTCTGACCGTGTGGCTTCCTCAACCTTCTAGAGTTCGCGTGCTCCTCACTGCGGCTTGGGCTTCTTGATGTCTGCATGAGGCCTAAGCCCCAGCCAGGCCTCTGGGACATGGGGGGTCGGGGGGCCTGGAGCAGGTCCCCTGCCCGCTCTGAGCTGCAGGTTGGAGGGCCGCCCAGGACGGCGTGTGGTGGAGCCAGCCCCCCAAGACCGCTTCCCGTCACCTGCTACTTCCGCACGGGCAAGACTGTCCAGAGAACCCTCCGACCCCCCAAGACCCCTTCCCTCGGCTGCAAGACTTCGCTGCAGGCCATGAGTCAGCTACGCCGCAGTGTTCAAGGCCTTGCTCTGCCGGCGCCTCAGTCCTGACACCTGGAAGGTCCGCAAACACGTCCCCCTGCCAGGATTGTTGGTAAGGGTCACCGCGGGTCAGATGCACCACGCCGAGCCTGGCAAGGGCCCAGCATCTGGAGGCTGTCTTTGTCGTCCACGTCACAGGGTCGCGGAGGGAAGCCATCCTGCCCCAGGTCACTTCCTCACCTCCCTGCCCCTCATCTAAGCCAGTGACACTTGGGCCACAGTCTCATGGAGAAAGTCGCTGTCTCGAGCTGCTCCCCCGCACAGCCACCCTCACACACCGGGGGTTCGGAGGAGCAGGATGCCCCCGTTCCTCGCACACGTCAGCTACGCGGGAAGGGCTTCCTCCAGAGGCCGACGTCCTCTTGAGTTTGGAAGCAGCTGGGGCCGAGGGGAGCCTCAGGGGCCGAGGTGGGAGTGCCGAGGGGAACCGTCCTTCCGAGCCCACAAACCCCTGTATGAGCCATCCCGTGCCGGGGTTCACTCAAGAAACCCCCACCTGTGTCTGGATCACCACCAAACATGCTGCACAAATTGCTGTCTCTTCTCTCCCCATCAGCAGCCGCCCCAGCCCGAGCCAGGAAAGCAAGATCCTCCGCTCCCACCGGGGGGGGGGGGGGGCTGTGCCCGAAGCCGGGCGTCCCTCCGGGCGTGTGGGGCGAAGGGCCCAACCCAACCCTCAGCCCGAGCTGCTCTGGCCTGGCTACAGGGCTGGCTCCCTCCTCTGATACAGCCTCCCGGGGCGCAGCCAGCAGCCACCTGCTGCTGTCTTCTCGGCCCAGAGGATGCCGTCTTCACACACCAAAAGCTTCTGGCTTTCTGGATAAAACCAAAGCTGGTCCCACGCCTTGAAAACACACAGGATTCCAAACATGAAAGAAGCAGCAGACCCCAGGCTGGGGTCAGGAGGGAAGGGGGGCAGGATCAGGGGGTGGGGCAGGGGATTTGTTTCTCCATGGGTCCCGAGAGCTGCCCAATCCACACGGAGCCCAAGGCCCACTTCCCTGGCAGGACAATAATCAGAAAGCCCAGCGGGTGAGGTGAGTGGGCTCGGGGAGCCGGGGGGGGCCTGTCCAGCTGCAGGCTCCCCAAGCACACCCCGTCCAGCCACGGGGAAAAGGCCAGACACGTCACTGCTCCAGCCCTGGCCGCATTCTGACTCTCCGACAGACAGGAAGAGCTCCCTCGGGGAGCCCAGTGGGGTTGCAAACAGCTTTGGGCCAGTCCCACAGTTTGGCAATTCTCATGTGAGGAAGCAAATTAAAACAGACGGGTAGATGTCCACCATGACTTTGGATCGTCTTTCTCTTCATTTCAGAGCAACCCCTGACCTGTAGTGGCCCCAACACCTCCTGTGAGTTCCTCCCCAACCAGGATCCAACAATCACACACCGGGCAGGTGCCGTGAAGGCCCCGACCGTCCCTTTGCAACGGAAGGAATTCCTGTGTAACAACAGCGGGATCCCCAGGGCCTCATCGGCAAGAGGGATTTTTCAGATAGAAGTCTGCCACCCCATACAATTTTTTTTTCTTTTGCAATTCTAAATCCCCAAAAGCCCCTGAATGCTAAGTTTTCTTCCATAACTTATTTAGGCCAAGATCTGACCTGAACCAAGCAAAGTGAGGCTATTTATGGTTTTTATTGATCCCAATTAGTCTGACTTTTCACAGGATTCTCTGCAAAAACAGTCATGCGCTCGATGGTCGGGAGGTGCTCCAGACTGCGGGCGTGTTAGGAAATGCACGGTACATGGGTCTTATTCTGTCTCAAATCCACGTTTTCTGAATTTGGAGACCCGTCCAGCCCCAAGGATTTTAGGAGGACTATTGACCAGGAGTGGCGTTCAGTATAATGTGAAAGGCTGCTGGCCCGTGCTTGCTCACACCTGCGCTGGGGATTCTGTGTATGAACACCTGGCAATTCTAGCCGTTTCGCCCAGGGATGAAGTCGCGGGCCGCCTTCTAGGGAAACAAAGGTCAAAACACACCCAGGGCCAGAGATTTCAGTGGCAAGGAGGGGGGTGGGTGAAGGGTAGGCTACAGTAAGGGAGCGCGGGGCCAGGAGACACTTTCAGGGGTCCATCCCCAGGAGGGCGCGGCAGGCCTTTCCACACTGGGCTGGGGACGTGTGCATCCTCACTCCTGCCCTGGCGCGGCCCCCAGGAGACCACAGCGCAAACACTCAGACGGGCTGGGGACCCAGAGGAAGGGTCCACCGCACCCTGCCCCTCGGTGAGCCCCTGCTGCCTGACCCGGCAGCTCCAGGGCGCCCTCACAGTGGGCAGGGAGACGTGCAGGGCAGAGGAGAGCCGAGCATCCCAGCCTTGCTGTCCGCAACCCCGCCCCCACACAACCCCCCCGCCCCGAGATGCTCTGGGAGCCTGTCTTTCTGGAGCGTGGGGGGGCGGGGGGTTGGCAGTCTTGCAGCCTGCCAAGAAAAGCAGATGCGTTTTCAAAATAAATACTGTTTTTTAAATACCCCTCTTCCACTCCGACCCCAGGACACGGCAGAAGAGCATGTGTAAAGGTCCCGGTGCCGCCCGCGGCCTGGTACGGCCCCCATGGGCCTGCCCTGGAATTCTCAGCGGCTCCTTCGGCCTCACAGCTGCTGTGGGATGCCCTGCTCCTTGTAGCCTGTGGGAAAGAAGCACAGGAGAGAGCGTTAGATGCCCGCTTCCTTCAGGATTTCTCTAGGAGGTGCCTGCGAACCACGACAGGGTCATGAGATCTTATTTACACTAAGGTGTGAATGACAGCTATACTCAGGGTCCACCTTCTCCCGAGGGCATGGACTTTTTTTACCAGGGACGGAAAGATGCAGGGAGAACTGTGGAACTTTGGGTTTAGTGGGGTTACAGGACAGGAAGGCACCTGGGGAGGGGTGGTGACGCTGTGATCGACGTGCCCCTGGCCCAGAAGACTAGGGCGGGCCTCCATGCCCCAGCGCCGGGTACCTGGGACGTGTGCACGGAGAGGAGGATGGAAAGGAAAACAGCAAGACAGGACACAAAAGCCCGTCACTATGTGTGTGTTCAATCAGCCGGACGTCTGGAACACAAACGTGACCGAGGACTCCGAGCCTTTAAGACACAACAGTGTCGTCACAAGAGCCCTGGGAAAATTGAGCCACTGAAACACTTAGGGACGAAGTTATGAGCTTGGAATTGGCGAAATGCCCCCCGCCTCACCGTTAGTTGGCAACTTAGCCCCCAGAGGAGTTTCTGAGGACCTAACGGTTGTTTTCTCTCATTATTTACCAAATTATTCACCCATTTTAAGTCTGAATAACGTGCGGAAATGCAGGAAATAGATAAGACATCACAGATGACACAGGAGTGACTATGTTGTTGAAGCCTGTGGGCCCTAAGGGGCTCAGTGCACCAGGCCCCCGACTTTTGTCTATGCTTCTACGTTTTCCAAACTAAAAAGCTGGAAATCCAAACAAACAAAAAGAAAACACAGACAGAAGAAACAGAAGCACAACAATAAATGAAAATAGATAAAAACCAAAAACAAGATGAAAGCCCGGCGGCCAGCTCGGTGAGTGTGTGTGCGGAGGGCGCAGGGGGGCGGCAGGGGCGCGGGGGAGGCAGCCTGGGCAGGGCCCCACGCCCATCAGCAGACTCACCTTGGGAAACTTGGGGGCAACACAGGGTTGTGAGGCCACGGGAGGGACAGGAGGAAAAGAGAAAGAGAAAACAGGGTGAAAACAGAGGCCAGAGGGACTGGCTGAAGTCCAAAAGGCGTCAGGACGCGTGAGCACTGTGCCCGGGGTCCAGCGACTGGGAACCGCAGGTGGGTGCTGGGCTGCAGGGGCACGTGGCCAGGGCTCCCCCCTCCCCAGGCTCACAGCCTGCAGCCCCGCCGAGAAGCTCCCTCGGGGCCCACCCCTGCCCCACAACGCAGCCAAGCCCACTCCTCCCCCGGGGCCACCCGCTGCCCCTCGCTCTGGGCTCACCCCCACCCGGCCTGGAGACGCCAGCCGGGTGCACCCATGGAGGGACGGCTGTGGGACACTCTCAGGATTTTGAGGTGCCCCCTCCTGGCCCCAGCCCAGCTCCGCCTGAGCCGTCTGGTCACCCCATGTAGGGACAGGAGCCACATACATAGACCCTAATGCCTCGGGACAGACGGAGGCCGGGACATGGCAAACAGATTTTGTCCTGCAGACATCTCCGATGAAGATGCCAGAAGCCCCGTGTGGGGAACACGTGGATGGATGAGCAGACGGTGTCGTGATGAGGGGGGCAATGCCTGCCATGGGCATGGGGCAGAGAGCGCGGAGAACTACGGCGTATTTCTCCATCCTCGACCAGGACAGGCTGTGGTTGGCTTGTGATTATTATCAACAGAGCCGCTTGCTTGTGTCTCTGGTTTTAATGTCTACTTAGATCTGGAATTCCCTGCGTGTCCTCTTAAGGGTTTTTCCGGACGGTGTGTGTGCTGATGACACCCTGGCCAGTGCTGTGTGGAAGGTCATCCTTGGGATGCCTGGGTGGCTCAGTCCATCAAGCGTCTGCCTTCCGCTCAGGTAATGAGCCCAGGGTCCTGGGATCGAGCCCCACGTCAGGCTCCTGCCCAGCCGGGAGTCCGCTTCTCCCTCTGTCCCCCTCCCTGTTCCTTCTCTCTCTCTCCCTCTCAAATAAATAAAAATAAAATCTAAAACAAAACAAAAAACTCATCCTGTACTATTCCAGCTGAGAAGTTTCCTTCATTTTTGTGGGAAGGGGTGGAGTAAACCCAGAAAGAATGGCCCCCATCCAACTATCGATTAGGACAGACGAGTCACTTGTGGGACCTCCCCCCAAAGTCGCCATCCCGGGACATGCAAGCTTTGCTTGTCGCTCAGAGCCACCCTGGCCTGCCGCCGCATCTCAAGAGTGGCAATTACGCATCCTTCCAGGGTGGGTTTACTTTCTGGAACAAGGCACCCCTGCAGAGATGGGTGGCTGAGTCCGGAGGGCAGGCACGGTTGGTGGGAAGCGGCGAGGTGTGGCGGGTTTTCTCGTGCAGCTAAGTCTGAAAAATCTGGCGCAAAAAACCCAGCTTCCCCGGGGCCAGCGTGCAGACACCCAAGAAGCTGACTGGCCACAGCGAGAGCCTGGGGCCCTGGGGCAGGGTGGGAATGGGACTTCTCGGACTGGGTATCCCGCAGCCCAACTACACCCGCCGCACTAGCCATAGGGCCGGGGTTTCTGGTTGAGCCCACAGTCTGGGGTGGTGCAAAGAGAGGAAGTAACCAGGTCCCCATCTTACTTCTCGGGGTCCATGCTTCCTCATCTAGGACCTGATCAGGGGGCCCTTTTAGTTATCTCTAAGATACAGACTCCATGGCTTTTGAAACCCCTGGGTTTTAAGGGTGACCAAGATAAAAATAACCAGAAAGCTCTAGGGACTAGGCGCCAATTCACTTTTATTGAGACGGGGCCCGGTGACGTAGGCGCGTTCCACTTTAGTGGAAAGTTTCCATCCTCAAGTGCCCAAGTGCCTGGCCAGACACTGGGGTGACGCGGGAGGAAGCAGTCAAAGGGTCAGGCCTTCTGACAGTGGCTGAGGACGCATCCCAGAGCAGGCCTCCCAGGTTCCAACTGGGAAAGGGGTCAGGAGGCTGCGGGCCATCCCACAGGCCCCTGGGGAAGCCTCAGGCTCTGCAGCGCTCCCCGCCTGCCGGCAAGACTCGGCAATCCCTAGTCAAGGGCGCAGGGCGAGGCGCCCGAGATGGGCCTGCCTCGGTCTCTGACTCCTCTGCCTGCTCCCCTCCCAGGGTCCCCATCCTCCCTGACATCCTGACGGGCCGCGCCTGCCCTGAGAGCAGTCCTCCCCAGCCTGCTGACCCTCCCCAGCCTAGCCCTCCCCAGGGCCAGCCCATCCCCCAGCCGCCAGCCAGGCCTGCGAGCTCCCCCTCCCATCTCTCTGGCTGCCTCCGTCTCCCGGGGTCTGCCTGGGATGTCCTGGTAACAGGCTCCCCACTTCCTTCCTGACCTCTGCTGCCGGATGACCTGCTCCCAAGCAGCCAGTCTGCCCAATCCACTGGCTCCGCTGGATCTCTCTGGCTCTGGGGCCTACACTTTCTCTGGCCGGCGGCTTAACTGGTCACTGACCGGAGGCCTCGCCTGGCCCTGGCATCTGTGTGTGCCCTGCATCCTCCGAGGATTCTGAACTCAGATAGAGTCAGCTACAGGTCATTCTAGATCATTCTAGGGCCCCCAAAAGCCCGTCCTGCCTCGGCTGTCCCTCCCTCTGACACTGACAGTCCCGCCTAAGAGTGGCTTTGTTGTGTCAGACACCACGGGGCGCCTGGTGGAGGCGGCCCATCCGCGGCAATCCGTGGCGGCGTGGACGGAACGTAGGAAAACGCAGGCCACGCGCGGGGCTGCTCCGAGGCACGTGCGGTATCTGTTCTAAGAGCTCACTAGGTTATTTCATAAATGTTAAGTCATCTCGGTGACCTTTGTAACATCAGGCACTTTCACAAAACAGTTTTGTGTCTGAATCAAGGTTGTGCTGAGTGGTGAAGGTTCCCTCAACAGGGAACAAAGCTTAGGTCAAAGGAAAACCACGCTGTCCTGGTTATAGAAACAAAACAGAACAAAACAACCCACAGTTACAGGGCTTCCTGTGGGCACAGATGCCACGTGGGTTTCCCTTCTTTCTGGAAACTGGGGCCGCCAGGCCCAGGGGACATCACCTCACACAGCCCCCACCCCAGCTACCCAGGGTGGTCCAGGACAGTTCCCTTGACAAAGAGAATGCCTGATGCGTCTGAGGTGAACAGAAGCTCGGCCCTGTCTTGTTCACACCCTCGGGCTCAGGAGTCTGCCTGTCTCCGCTCAGGACTCCCTGCAGGCATTGGGCTGGGCATGCACGGTGGGGGGGCAGGGGCAGGGGTGGAGGGGAGGGTCCCCTCTGCCAGGCGGCTGCAGACTCTAGTGACCGGCAAGGTGCCAACACCCTGCAGGACCACAACCACCCAGACCATCCAGCGCCTGCCCCTCTTCCAGCCCTGCCCCCGCATCCGGCCCAGCCCCCGACCCAGAAGGCACGGCATGGGCAGGTACTCACTGGCCAGGATGACCATGTCCATGCCCCAGAAGATGCTCATGATCCAGCCCACCATGACGATAGCTGTGAGGGTCTGGATGAGGGCCGCTGCGATGTTGAGCCAGAAGACACAGCATACGTGCCTGTCCGGGAGGTCGGTGCGGGCTCCGCACAGCACGGCGAAGGCCGAGACAAACGTCCCTGTGAGAGGGGACAGGCTTCTGAGCGCACTGGGGGGCGCAGCCACACGCGTGCTTCCGGACGGCCTGGGGCCCCGCTGCCCGCCCCCCCAGGGAGCTAGGAGAGGGGCGGCCGGAGTCCAGGACCTTCCCACTCAGACCCGGCCCGCCTCTGATCCCTGTGCTGGGGGAGCCGAGGCACCAGCCTGAGGACATGTGGATGGTTGGCCCCAGGCGCAGCAAGTCTTGGGGCCACGACAAGACATCCCTGCCACAAGGGAGCCACAGCGCAGCCCCCTGCAAGGACAGAGAACAGCCTGGGGGAATGACATCAACCTCGTGTGGCAAAGGCTATACAGGCCTAGCGGTTCGGAAGTAGGAACCAGCATCCCTGGGGTGACACGGAAGCTGCCCACGGAGATAAATTCAGGAAGTGACCCCCAGCACGCTCGCTAATTGCGAAGGGACAGGCACGGAGGCCCCAGGTGGCTGCAGAGCGGAGAGCTCAGGCCAGTGCCAATGTTTCAGAGACCCTTCTCTGACGGGGTTCCCCAGACACCCCAGACCTGCCGGGGGAGGGACAGGGGGCCCAAGATTTATTGAACATTCACGAAGCACAAAGCGACGTAGTGTGTGTGACCAGGTCCCTTACCTGGTAGGACTTCCCAGATCCACACAGCGCTATATGTACTGCATTTTCCTGGAGCCAGGCTCTTTTCCTCCGTGGGCTCTGAGCCTCAAGGCCACCCTGCAGAGCAGCTGGCCTGCTCCCCCTCCGTGTCGGTTACGCCGTGGCCGCTGGCCCACTCCCCGTCTGCGCCGGTTACCCCGTGGCCGCTGGCCCGCTCCCCGTCCGTGTCCGTTACCCCATGGCCATTGGCCTGCTCCCCGTCCGTGTCCGTTACCCCGTGGCCGTTGGCCCGCTCCCCGTCCGTGTCCGTTACCCCATGGCCGTTGGCCTGCTCCCCATCCGTGTCCGTTACCCCGTGGCCGTTGGCCCGCTCCCCGTCCGTGTCCGTTACCCCGTGGCTGTTGGCCCGCTCCCCGTCCGTGTCCGTTACCCCGTGGCCGTTGGCCCGCTCCCTGTCCGTGTCCATTACCCCGTGGCCGTTGGCCCGCTCCCCGTCCGTGTCCGTTACCCCGTGGCCGCTGGCCCGCTCCCCATCTGTGTCCATTACCCCGTGGCCGCTGGCCCGCTCCCCGTCCGTGTCAGCTACCCCGTGGCCTCTGTAACAAGTCACCACAACCTCAGTGGCTGAAAGCAACATAAATACACCCTCTTACAATCTGGGAGATGGAAAGTCGGGAATGTCCTCGGGGTCCTCCTGGAGGCTCTTTTCCTGCTTCCCGGGGCTGCCGCATGTATTGGCTCCCGCCCCTCCTCCACCACCCCTTCATCTTCTCTTCCTGACTCTGACCACCGGCCTCCGACCATTTGAGCACATGGGCCCTCCAGATAATCCAGGGAAATCCCCCCATCTCAAGTCACATGTGCAGAGCCCCCTCTACTGTGTAAGGGAACACCTGCACAGGCACCGGGGTCAGGGTGTGGACACCTTTGGGGGGAAGCATTATTCTGCCCACCACACTAACATCCCATATTACCCAAGCGTTCCTTCTGCTTCCGCACCTGGGGTCTTGCTGCCCCAGAGAGACTGTCCCTAGAGCTAGTACGTGACCCCCCAGTCCAGAGCCCACCCCCCAACCACCTCCTTTATGGGCTCTCACCCTCTGGGCCCCTAGCCCCCCACCCTAATCGTTCAGGGCCAGATACTGGACAACCAGGGACAGCCCACTGAAATTATTCAAACAAGCCAGCCGTTAGCCGGCTTACCCTGCCTAGAGTGTTCCTTCCCTGGAAACCGCTATAAAGGCCCACACTGCCCCCCGTGGCCTGCCCCCATCTCTGGCGCCTCCTCATGTGGGGCCCTGCAGCATGGCGTGCCCCTCCTCTGAGGAACTGTAACCAACTCTCCTTTCAGTGGCTGCCATTTCTGATCTGTTGGCCCCTCCATACCTAAACAGTAACAAAACCTACATTCTAAAACACGCACACAATCGAGAATCAAGTATCCTGTCCAAGGTCACAATCACAGGCAGGCACGGACCCCACGGCCATGTGATGCCAGTGTTCTGTTCCTGCTGGTTCCCACTGCCTCCCAGGTGGGGACAAGCTGTGACAGCAGGTCCAGACAAGGGAGTAGTCCATTTGGGAAACCGGCCCGCAAACCAGCGACCATCCTCACGCTCCTCCTCCTGGGGAAGCTCCTCCCTGTCTGCACTCTGGCTTCTGGCCCTGCCCTGCTCAACCTTGGTGGCTCCTGCTGGCCTCCCCAGGTGGCCGAGGCACCCGTAAGCCTCAGACCCAAGGCTGATGCCGGGGTGCACGTGCTGATTCCTGATCCCGACGCTGCCCATCCTCTTTCTCTTAAAACTGCCTCCGATTGCGTGTGTTTCTACCTCCCTAGGGGCCGACAGTCCCCGAGACCCCAGGTGGCATCCCGGCCACCTTTCTGCCCGGGCCCCAGCACAGTGCGGTATACAGTAGTCAGAGGGGCCCCCAGCACAGTGCCGTATACAGTAGGTAGAATGTGGGGGTCCAAAGAAACGCAACCAGTGTGAGGTGCCTGCTCAGACCACCTGCTGTCACCTGTGGCATTTGCTAAAACCACAGATGACCTGAGGGGGTGACGTCACCATGATGACGACACAGGCCTTTGCTGATGCCCCTCCCCTTCACAACAAGAACAGCTAGCAACTGTTCATGAGCAAAACACCACTGAGACGATCCCAGAGGCACCCCCTGCCCCACAGAGACCAACACAGGCTGCACTGGGAGGGCCAGAGCCGCGGCTCCCCACTAACCACCCTGCCCCTCCCCTACCCGCCCACCGCCACCCAGAGGCCTCCCCTGAGCCTCTGGAAAGGAGAGGGGACAACCAGCCCCACCTCCCGGCATCGTGGGTCCCTTCTCGGGACCCCTATTCTGATCTCGCTGCACAGGGAGATCAGTGGGGCCCGAGCACCGGAATCGGCTTGTGATGGGGGTGGAGCAATCCGCAACAACGGGCCAAGATCTTGGGCACAGAGTTCACAGTGGCAGTGCCCAAGTCGTCATCCCAACAGCGGCCTCGCTCACTTGCGGAAGCGCGTCGGTGACGCACTCTGACCAGGGGCCTTGGTGGGCCTCAGAGCCCGGCTTGCCCCCCACACAGGCAGGGAGCTGTAACTTGCTGTGGAGAGGGTCTCCCAGCCACATGCAACCAGAGGGTGGGAAGGAACATGTGCAAGGAACACGTGCCGAGAGGCAGGCAGGCAAGCCAACCACCCCCAGGGCAAAGCCAGTGCCCACTGTGGAGGGTGTCCCTGCTCTGCAGAGGCAGGGGGATGAATTCATGGCCGAGGCTGAGGGGAGCTCCCAGCCCCTCCCAAATGGAGAGTCTGGGAAAATGAGAGTTGCCCGGAGCAGCCCCCCTACCCCCACCCAGACAAGGTATGAGACACAACCCATCTGCCCAGAAGAGCTCCTGGGCCCTCTCTCTCTTTCCCTCTCCAATAAATAAATAATTTAAAAATATATATATAGAGAGAGAGCTAACCAATATGGTACTGACAAAAAAACAAACAGACCAATAGAACAAAACTGAGAGCCTGGAAATAAACCCAGGCATATACAGTCAACTAATCTTTGACAAGGAAACTGAACGGGAGAGAAGACAGTCTCTTCAGTCAGTGGCGCCAGGATAACTGGATATTCACATGGAAAACAATGAAGCTGGCCCCCTACCTCACACCACTCACAAAAATAACTCAAAATGGATCAAAGACTTAAATACAAGACCTGAAAGCACGAAACTCCTGGAAGGAAACACAGACACAAAGCTCCCCCGACGTGGGTCCTGGTGATGGTTTCTTGCATGTGACACCTAAAGCTCAAAGCAACTGAAGCAAAAATAAACAAGTGGACAACATCAAACTAAAAAGCTTCTGCACAGCAAAGACAACCTGTGGAACTGGAGAAAGTATCTGCAAACCATACCCTTGATAAGGGGTTAATCTCCAAAATACAGAAAGAACTCATCGACTCAGTAGCAGAAAAACCACCCAATTAAAACATGGGCAAAGGACCCGAACAGACGCTTCTCCAGAGAAGACATCCAGATGGCCAACAGACACAGGAAAGGATGCTCAACATCACTCATCCTCAGGGAAATGCAAATCGAAACCACAGTGAGATCCCACCTCACACCTGTCAGAATGGCCATGATCAAAAAGATAAAAACACGAGAGATACCCTGTGTTGGCGAGGATGTGGAGAAAGAGGAACCCTCGTGCACTGTTGGTGGGAGCGCAAACTGGTGCAGCCACTCTGGAAAACAGTATGGAGGTTCCTCAAAAAATGAAAAACAGAACGACCATATGGTCCAGCAATTCCATTTTGGGGAATATATATATTAAAAAATGAAAACACTAATTCAAAAAGACATCTGCACCCCATGTTCACTGAAGCATTATTTACAGTAGCCAAGACACGTCTATGGATGGATGAACGGATCGAGACATCATGGTATAAATGTGCACAATGGAATATTATTCAGCCATAAAAGAACGAGGAAGTCCTACCACTCGTGACAACATGACGCCTTCCTTACGCTCAGTGAAATAAGCCAGACGGAGAAAGGATCTCACTGATCTAGAACAACAAACAACAAACTCAGAAAAAGAGATTAGATGCGTGGTTACCAGAGGGGGGTGGGGGGGGCTGGAGGGAGGGGTCAGAGGATCCAAACCCCAGGTGCACGGTAAGTAAGCACCGGGGGTGTCGCACAGCCGACATGCTGTGGGGGAAGCTAAAATCCTGAGCTCTCGGGGCGCCTGGGTGGCTCAGTTGTTAAGCATCTGCCTTTGGCCCAGGTCATCATGACTCAGGGTCCTGGGATCGAGCCCCGCATTGGGCTCCCTGCTCGGTGGGAAGCCTGCTTCTCCCTCTCCCACTCCCCCTGCTTGTGTTCCCTCTCTCGC